ACAATATATCAAGATCAGACCAAAATAATCAAAAGGCACCAGAATTACGGGATACAGTTATAGCAGTACATATAAAGGAAATTACAATTTCCTTTATATTAACAAGAAAGAAAATAGAAAATCATCAAAGTTAAAATTAATCTTTTACTGGAAATATGCTCCAGCTCTTTACAGAGGCCATACTGCCATCTGTCAGACTAAACACACATGCACCTTGACAGTCATCCAAACCTCCCACCTGACCAGGCCTCTTTCCAGTCTGCTTCACACGTCCACCTCACTCCACCTGCACCGGCAGCACTGGCCTTCACTCTAGACTTTTGCACAGATGCTTTCTTTCTAGTACTCCCATCTTTTAAGGCTATTTTCATCCACTCAGCTCTTTATATTCTTTCATGTTATCTTTAGAACCAGTTTACTGATTTCCAATATTTAAAAAAAATATTTTTTTTACAGAAACAATAAATCACACCCTAATATTAATAGAAATGACATCTTTATGACACTCTGTTCAGTCACATGGCACTCCACTATTAGTTAGGTCAACCAAAATAACAGGCCATTTCGTTCATTATTCAATACACTTCTCAGGCTAGGGCACTTAAACTATTTTCTATTTTATGCTACTGACAGCCGATTTATTAATTGCCAATTTTCTAGCATTTCCAGTAGCCAATAGGTTCCCCTAGACTTTTGGCAGAAATGATCAGTAGTATCATGTTTAAGTAGTTTTCCTGCTGTTTTTTTTTTTTTTTTTTTTTTTTTTTTTATCCTTTAACTGCCTTATTTTTGCTTCTTACTGTAAGAGCTGATGTAGTCACTAGCATGATCAGGACAGGGAGAAATATCATGTGCACACAAATGTTCTGCCAGCACCACTCAGAATAGCAAATGCAAGGCCATCAAGTCAATGGCCTTCTCTTCCATCTGTGGCTGCCTACACATTTTATATAACCATGGTGTTGAGTGTCACCAACTCTTCTGTTCAGTGCCTAATTACTGCTGCTGCTTCTCTTGGGACAGTTTGCTATGTATCTGGATATTCTTGCAGCTGTTTGCCCAACTTTTAAATGCCCAGGGCTACTGAGCAGCTTTTATAGCTGGTACAGAGACAATCATCTAAGTCAAGGTGATCACAACACTACTGTGAATTAATTACTCATTCAAGAAAAAGAGAAATGGTTTGCTTTCTACTTGCTAGACAAGGTTGTAGTTCTAGATAATGGATTCCTTAACTACAGTTCAGCTATGTATGCATACCCACCGTTCCTGCCTATTGTAGCACACTCTAGAATTTGGAGTGGCTATAAGAGGCACTCTCACACTAATCCCTCATGTGACTACTGTATTATGAATAGTAACTGACTTGCTTGGATAGAATGGATTTTTTAATTTTAATTCTGAAATCCATGGAATTGTGGTAATTTACTCCTTGCCATTGTAAAGGAGGGTCAAGGAAGCCTGGAATAACTGGGACGGAAGTATTGGCTGCTCCTTGCTCCTAGGGATGTCTCCCCTCTCCTCCTCATACCATCACATGTTGCTATGATATGGCTGGTACAAACAATGAGGAAAGTGGGGGCCAATGAAAGGGTTGAATGAGAGCTCCCACCACTTTAAGGGCCTCTCCATAACCCTAATGGGAGCTGTCTCTCTGTTTCAACAAGTGTTGTTGTTTGTGTATCCCTTCCATGCCCTGTGATGTCTCCTCCCGTTAGCTTGTTCTCCAGAAGAAACTTTGCTTCTTCTACCCTCATTCTGACTTCTCCCTCCAGTATGCTGCTTTCCAATCTTCTTCCCAGGACAAACAATCCTTTGTTTATCACACAGAAAGAACTTATGGTACCCCTCACCTACGGCCCCAAAAACAACTCTCTATGAGCCTGGGGTTCTTTCCCCTCACAGTTCATGTGATCTCTAAGGGACTGTGTGTTCCTCAGCTTTTCTTACTGTGACAAATACATAAGAGAAAGTAACTTAAGGAAAGCGACATCTATTCTGGCACACACCAAGTAATACACTTCACCCAGCAAAATCCCATTTCTTAGCTTCTAGCACCACCCCAAATAGTACCAGCACCTAGGAGTCATGTGTCCAACATATGAGCTCATGAGGGCTGCTTCATATTCCAAAACCAGCACTGCATCCTAGCCCCAAACAGGCTCACTTCCATCCTGGAAGGTAAAAGTTGTTCAGTTCACTTCCAAGAGTTCCCCATAGTCTCACTTGTTTATTTGTTTTTGAGAAGGGTTTCGCTATTTAGTCCTGGTTGGCCTAGAACTCACTATCTAAACTAGGCTAGCCTCAAACCCAGAGACTTGCCAGTCTCTGCCTGGGGTAAAGGTATCTACCACTATGCACAGTTACAGAAGTTCTAGCATTGTAAAAATGACTAAGAGCAAAATCTCTTTTGTGACTCAAAGCAAACTCTCAGCTGTGAGCCCTAGTAAAATTCAAAAAGTAAGTCACACACTTCCATTATATAATGTGTTGTGTGACTTTTCCTTACATGCCCCAGAAAAGACACTGATGACCAAACAAAACAAAAGTGAGCATTTATTGAGGACTCAGGTTACTTACAAGAGTGTGAGTACCTCAAGTAGTTGTATTACCCCAAAGCCCACTTCAGCAACGGTGACAACTCACAAAAAGCAATGCCCCCAGGGCTCCCTGTAGGACTTACTTACAGTGAGCTCTACTGGGCTCTTTTGGCTGCTCAGCCTCGATGATGCTGTCCACTGCATTTATAATAAAGGGGAGGAGCTTTGTGAATTTTGCCACTATCTGAGTTTCTTTCTTGAGCCTTGTGCCACTAGTTTCCTGAGCCTCTCCCCTCCCCCTAGAAAGAATGTTCCAATTCATAGGAAATAACTACTCAGTACAATGATAAACAGTAAAATACTCATTCCAAAAGAAAAAGAATAGCAAAGAACTGAGCCAATGCATGCCCAAAACGTCAAATCCTACAGCTCCATGTACTGCATTCTAGAGTATCAAGTATCATGATATGGACCCCCACAAAGCTTAAGCAGCCCTGCCCCTACAGCCTTTCTCATCCCAAGTCCTATCTAGTGGGCAGCCTGTAGCTTTCCAGGACAAATGTTCTACAATACCAACATCTCCAAATTCCTTAGCTATCAACTGCAGCTTGGGCTTCACACACCGATTGCCCTCTATCTAGGGTGCCAGTGCCAGCAGCTCTGACGTTGCCATATACTGCCTGGCCTCCTATGGTTTCCTCTGAAATCTTCGGTGGAAGTCTCTATGGCACTTCCATTTTGCCTGTCTAAAAAACCAATCATGTGGATAATACCAAGGTCAGCTACCAGCTTAACCAATAGCTGGGCCTTCCACCCCTAGAGCAGCCTATGTGCCTTAACAGTTAAACACAGGAAAATTCGCAGGTTGGGAAAGCTAATTCCTGAGATGATCTAAGGCATTTTCCTTATTACCCAAGTACTTGGCTTTTTAAGTGCTGAGGATATGACCCAGGGTCACAGGCATACAAAGAAAGTGATCTGTTTGATGCTAGAGGTGGTTCATCATTTAAGAGCACCTGCTACCCTTGCAGAGGGCCTGAGTTCATTTCCCAGGACTCACATGACAGTTGACAACCAACTATAACTGCAGTTCCAAGGGATTTGACTTGCTCTTCTGGCCTTCTTGGGTATCAGGAATATATGGGGTACATAAACACAGGCAAAACATTCACATACATAAAATAAAAACAAAGGTTAAAGAAGGGTAAAAGGGGGTGCTTTACCACTGAAATGCATACCCAGACAATGGTTTCTTTATCACAGCTCAGATCTCTTTATTAGCTACACTTTGCTTGGTCTCAACTTCTTCATATATATTTACTTGTTTTCTCAGCAAACTACAAACTTTTAAACCTCCCACTATGCTTTTTGCTCAAATTCTCACTGTAAACTTGGATGTAAGAGATCATTAATAAACATACCCCAACCTAAATATCAGGCTGTCTTCAAATTTCTTCCAATACTTGTCTATTATTAAATATAGCCGATATAGTCTCAGAATATGATCATAATGAGACAAGGTTTTGCAACAATGTAACATGCATGAATGACCTCTAGTGAAGTTACAGAGAGTATCCTTGGTTCTGTATGACTCTAATGAACCGTCCTTACTTACACCACACTACCTGGTTATCTGTATGCTGAACCACAGCCTCTTTAAGCCCTAGCTAGACGCCATAGCTGCACAATAATGAAAGTGCTTCCCTTTATCTCCAAGTGCTGAGAATTTCTTGTTGGGTAAGGCTGAGTTACCTTACCCAGGTAAGGTAGAACATCATTGCAATGGGAACATGTATGGAAGACTCACTTCCGGTATCTATGAAGACCAAAGTGACCTAACTTTCTCCACTCCTCCCAAAGTAGCACGATCAGCTGAGGACCAAGCTTTCAGCACATAACCTACTGTGGGGAGCATCTCTTGGTCAAATCACAGGTCTCAGGAACCTACAAAATGAAAGATAGCAACACCCCCAAAAGTTGTCCTTTGACCTCCATCACAGCACATACAAACCTCACTACATACAAATATACATATACACAAAGAAGTGAATAAATAAACAAAAGATAATTCAAGTCATAAATAAACACCACTAGAGAAAATGCCAACAGCAGATATTTTGTTTGGTTGAGAAGTTTTCAAAAGGCTACTTCTGGAAAAATAAAAACTGCTTTACTTTCCAGTTAAACAAAACTATACCTCATAATTCACAAACATTAAGAATTTAACAATTTTAAGACTATCAATATTATCTTAAAATATATATTATCAGTTGAAAAACGCCAACAAATGAGGAACAGCAGTTATTAGCTACATCAGTCACAAAGATATAAATAATGCTTTCTTTCTGCTTTTGAATTTACACCCTGATGAAGCCTCCAGCTACACATCTGATGTCAGAGTTCCACAGCATACATCGCAGAGAGTCCAAGATCAGAGTACTTATTATTTTTATCTTTTACCTGTATTCAGGCTGTCGGCTTGTGGAATGATCATCTCTTGTCCATCTGTAGCCAGAGTCATCCTGTAAAATAAAAAAAATTTAATTTGGTTTTTGTTACCCTATTTTGAATAGCCTCTGAAGTAAAATTAGAATGTGGATAAATATACGTCTTTAGGTATTCCTGGACTTACAAAACATAGTAAATAAAAGATACAAGTCATCAAATTCATTCACTAAAGAAGACTATGAACCTGAGGTACCACTTACCTGAATTTTAAAAAATGCATTATTCTCTTGGTAGACTCACACAGACTCAGTGCCTAACATGACAAGAGATACTTGCTGTCTGAGGACAAGAACCTAATTGTGACAAGTGTACATACACTGTCCAACCTTTTCAATTGCTATGCTCCCTCACCAATGTTCAGGGTCAAGTTCAAGGAAGAACGTGGTACTCTTTCCTTTTTTTCTCATTTTCTTTTCTCATTTATCACTTGATAAGGACATAATCTAGCAAAAATTATCACTGATAAACAATATTATAATATCTGATACAAAATTTAAAATCAAATGAAGCACATTTGCACCTCTAAAACACATGTGCAAAGAGAAGTTGCTAATCTTGCAGAGGACCTAGGTTTGGTTCTCAGCATCCAAAGGTGGCACACAACCATCTGTTAGTTCCGACATCCAAAGCTCTCCTCTGGTCTCTATGGGAACTGACACACATAGTGAAGATATGCATGCAGGCAAAACACCCATAAAAATAAAATAAAAATAACATTTAGGCTTGGCATAGTGACACATGCTTTCAGTCTCAGCACTCCAGACACAGAAGCATGCAGATCTCTCAAGCTCAATACCAGTCTGATCAAAATAGCAAATCCCAGGACAGGTAGGCAGACTATAGAGAGAGAGACTCTGTCTCAAAAATCCCAGAGAAATAAAAAATAAACACAACATGCAAATCACTTACAGTAAGAGAAACTTATTTAGCTAAAATATTAGTTTTCATCTTCCTCATTGACATCACAAACCCAACACTTGTATAAATAAACTTTGTCTATATTTTCCTTCTCAATGTTAAATAAAAACAAGAGAAAATACTGGACCCAGTAGTTTAAGTAAATTCTAGATAAAAATTAGTGTTGGAAAAGTTGTAAGGACCACAGGTATACTAGTCATTTATGTAAAGAGGAAAAAAAAAAAAAAAAACAGTTAAGTCTAAGAACAAACAAGTTTTTATATTAGTATGGTTTTGTCTTGTGGTGCTGCGGATTAAACAGAAGACTGCTTGGCATGCAAACCAGGGATTCTCACCCCTGAACTGGCCCAGTGCAGACAATCTGGAAGAATGAAATAAAATAACTGTGCCGTGGCTGAAACACTACTATAAGCTTTTAGAAAAAAATGATGTTCATGAGGTTACCAAACACAAGCAAAAACTAAACTCACCAAATGGCCACAAGAGTTTCCATGAAAGGGTACATGATGCTTTTGCTATATGACCAAATCCTTTCTCCCCGAAACTACCTAAAGGATAGTAAAATACTATCTCTAGTACAAAATTAATGCTTACTTCCCAACATCTAGACCATTCCTAAAGGAATAGCATGGCATTATAAATAAGCAGAGTAAAATCCAGCAATGCCAGAAAGAAAGCTGTAGCACTGCAAACTTAAGCAACAATCACCAATCCACTAAAAAGCCCTATTACCACTTTAGAATTATCAGGGTTCACACTATGAGGGACCATGAAAACTGGATTCCCATACATGCTAACCCTCAGGAAATCACTTACCTCCATTTCTTTAATTGCCAACATGTGTTCAAACAGCACAGTGTTTAGATGTATTATATTGGCTACCATGTCATACATTATGGGGAAGGAAAAAAGGGAAAAGGGAGGCAAATAGTCTAGAAGAGAACTATTGTAAATCTGTAAAGTCTAGGACATAGCAATTGCTTCCAACACTTTGATAAATTATCAAAACCTTAAATACCTACTTCTAGATTATCAAAAACAAATTGATAATCTTTTCTTTTGTTTTTTGTTTGCTTCTTTGGTTTTTTTTGTTTTGTTTTGTTTTTTGTTTTTTGTTATTTTTTGAGACAGGGCTTCTCTGTATTGCTTTGGAGCCTGTCCTGAAACTAGCTTCTGTAGACCAGACTGGCCTCGAATTCAGAGATCCGCTTGCCTCTGCTTCCTGAGTGCGGGGGTTAAAGTATGAGCCACCAACGCCTGGCCTCATTGATAATCTTAGTAGCTAACATTTTAAGCATTTACTGAAAGAATGACTTGACTGCATTCTAATCTCAAATAGTAAAGACCGTAAAAGCAAACAGACCTTAAGAATTCTAACAAAAATGATAATCGATAATCAACTTAAACCCACCTCACCCACAGCATTTTTCATGTCAAAAATGCAGCAATTATTAACAGGGACACGAAGTGACAAGTGTTGGCCATCTGCACATCACTATCAGTAAATCCCAACAAGTTTAAAGTAAAAATGCAAACGAGGTATGGTCAGGCACACACCACAGCAGAGAGTGCTTACCTAGCATGAGTGAGGCCATGGCCTTGTTGCCCAGTATCACACAAAAAGCAAGCATGCTGGAATTAACATCTCTTAGAGCTACCTAGGGCACCTACTCACCATCCAGCATCACAAGATTCTTGACTAGAAGTACCTTCTGGAGCTATATCCGCAGTCAACAGCACCTAGCTGGAATGGAAGCCAACCTCTAAAAACCTTGCACTACAGCATCCAAGAAGCTGAGACAGGAGACCAGCAAGTTCCCAGCAAGTCTGACCTGTATAGTGAGACCCTATTGCAAGAGGGAAAGTGGGTGCTGCAAATAAAACCAAGCCAAGCAACACAAGAACACAACACAAGCAGCAGGTGTCCATACTACTTCCAAAGCCTGCATATGAACTTTTGGTTACATGAATTTTAAACTTGAAAGAAAGAACAATTAGTACACGGGGGAAATTTACATACTCCTCTGTGAGGTGGGCCACTTCTTCGATCATGAGAAAAACTGCGGCCCTCGTCACTTTCTCGGTAATCAACATGACTGTAATATCTACTGTAGCCTCCTTCATCAGGTCTGGCTAGCAGAGGCGGTCTCTTGTCTAGCAGAGGCGGTCTCTTGTCTAGCAGAGGTGGTCTCTTTGGCACAACATTAACTACTCTATGGTAGCCATCCTAAAACAGATAAAAAGAAATTTAGAAACATCACTAATTTCTCTATTTGGCTTTGGAAATGTTTCTTATAAGCACAGGAGTTCTTATCCATAATTCAACAGAATAAATGTATAAATGAATAAAAACACACTAATGAAAATGTGAATATAAATAATAACATCCTCATATAGATTAATGGAAATAAAAATTATTTAGTGAAAAAAATGCATTCAAAATAACACACAATACAAAATGACAATCATAGGTTAAGAAAAGGGGTCTGGAGATAAGGCTCAGGGATAAAGAGCACTTGCTGTTTTGCCAGGGGATATAGGTGCAGTTCCCAGCATTCAGATGGTGGCTCACAACTGTAAAACAGTTCCAGGGAATATGACATCTTCTTCTGGTCACTGTGGGTACTGTACTCACATGTGCACATACATACATGCAAGCCACTTGTACATAAAATAAAAATAAATCCAAATAATAGTGTAAGTAAAAGAAAAGGTAATTTTAACAACAGCCAACAAACTACACACAGTAGGAAGGTTACAGCAGCATTATTATTAATGATGTGAGGACAGCACCATAAAAATGCTACAGCGGTGTTATTCCTAATGAATGAGGACAGTACACTGCTTGGTCTACTGTGCTTAAAATATTTTATGTAACTATTTAAACAGGGCTTGCATTAATAAACCAACAAGCAGTGAAGACTGTATAATGAACTAGAAAGCTTTTTTTTTTTTCCCAGAAGCTCAGGAGAGCTTTTAGCTTTTTAAATTTGCACATAAAGCTAATCTAAAATTAGAATTAATTTCCTAGGTAATATACTCTTGAAATGTATTAACTTGGTTGGGGTAGTAAAGGGCTACAACTGCTCTTTAAAAGGACCTGGTTCAATTCCAGCACATGGTAAAACTCAGCAGTCTAGAACTTCAGTACCAGGGGATTTAATCCCACTCTGGCCTCCTTGGACACTACATACAAATGCTGCCCAGTCTTATTACACACAGGCAAAATACACATACATATAAAAAATAAAATGACTTAAAAAATTTTAGTCACTAAGTTCTGTGGGATATGAGGAATTAGATGGAAGACAAATCTGTCCTATGTTAATAGCTAATATGATATAAAATTATTAGGGTAGGAAGCAAAGAACTATAGTACATGTGTTGTAATTTGATCTAAGCCATCCAAGGAACAGCCACATACAGATTTTCAGTTTTAGTTTTTTGAGACATGAATTCACTAAGTAATCTAGGATGGCCTCTACCTCACAGTCTTTCTCTCTCTCTCTCTCTCTCTCTCTCTCTCTCTCTCTCTCTCTCTCTCTCTCTCTGTGTGTGTGTGTGTGTGTGTGTGTGTTTCATGGTAGAGACAAGAGTGAGTAGCCTGGAACAGCAATCCTCCTGTCTTAGCCTCCTGAGTGACAGAATTACAGGTGGCTTAGCACACACACAATAAACAATTGATTAATTTTTAAAATGAAATAAAAAATTTGAAGTTGATTTTTTAAAAAAAAAAATCTTAGTTTTTAAAACTATGGAAGATACTTTCATTCTAGATGGTTGAATAATTTGACACACAACTATATTATACTTTCCACACAAATTTAAGTATCATAGTTAAGTGAACACAAATTAAAGCATTACTTGAGACTAGGGTGACATTCATTCAGTTGCAGAGCAAGGGTTAGCATTCATAAGGCCCTGGAACAAAACATTAAATATATGTCAACTTATTTTAGTACAAAACATTACGGCTTTTATTTATTTGCTATTTTATTTATTTTATGTATGGTGAAAGAGGTCTACATGCTTGCCATAGTTTGCATAGTTTACCATAGTCTGCATAGGTCAGAGCTAATTCTCAACTTCCACCATGTGGTTTCTGGAGATGGATCTCAGTTATACAGGTTTGGTAGCAAGTATTTTACCCACTGAGCTATCTTGATATCCTACAGAAAATATTTTGTTTAAATTTAAATTATAAGGCCCCTCCTTAAACATCTTTATCCTTTAGAGACAATGGAAATGTTTTCTTACATTTGAAACATGAATAGTGGATTTACTTCAGGAAAAAAAAAAAAACCTCTCAGGAAGGGAGGAGTGGTCAAGAAAACTGGCTGCTATTCTAGAGAGCCTGGGTTCAATTCCTAGTACCTACATAGTAGTTTACAGTAATCTGTAACTCCTGTTCCAGAGGCCTCCAACACCCTCTTCTGGCCTCTTTAAGCATCAGACATGCACACATGATGTGGTCTGTGGTCACAGACATACATGCAGACAAAACACTAATACACATAAAATAAAAAATTTTAAATGATATTTAAAAAAAAAAAAACCCTGGGAGAGGAAAACAATTATGAATAAAACACAAGCAACCAAAAGTAGATAACTGCTACTTTCATACTTTCATGACAATACTTTGAGAGTTCTTTATCTTGCCTACTTTTAAATAATTGTTTTGTTTATAAAGAGTCAAACACAAGTATAACATGGTTATACATGCCAGCAATCTCAGCATTAGAGAGGCTGAGAGAGAAGGACGGAAGTTCAAGGCAATTTGGACTACATAAGATCCTGTCTCAAAAATAAATAGATGAATAAATAAAGCTAAACAATAGTCAAGCACAAGACCACACTACACTTTCAAGTGCAGCTTGAGCTACAAAGCAAGCCCTTGTCTCAAAAAAATAAAAAAGAAACAAACAAAAAAAACATACTAACTACTGGCAAAGTACCACAGTACAGAAACAGCAACATTTCCTACCATAGTGAATTTACAATCTGAATGTAACCATAGAAACCTTGCTGGCCTTACTATCCAGCTCCTGGAAAAGCAAGTTGCACACAGTAAGTACCCCATACAACATGAAACCTGCCCATCCTGTAGAAATGCTTGCCTAGATGAGCCCAGGACACTGAAATTAGAAGAATTCAAGGGGTGTAAAGAACAGCTCAGTTGAGATCAAGGAGAAAGAGCTTTATTAAGGAGCATAAACACCTGAGTGATGCACAAGATCAGGCTGACAGAAATGACAAAGGCAATCCAGGACTAGAAAATGAAATTTAATAAAGACATAGAAAGAAATACTGAAGGGGACTCAAGCTGAAATGAAGGAGGAATCAAAAAATGAAGTAAAACATTTCACAACTAGAAAACTCACAGAAAAGACTGACAGTCTGAATCAAGCAGAAAACTGAACACCAGGCAATCTAGATCAAATAAGCAAGGAATATGACAAAGAAATTAAAAACATAGGAAAGGAACACAGAGATATTTGGGACACCATTAAAAAAACAGAACAAAACAAACCTTTGGATACCGGCATAGATGAGGCAAAGTAATCCCAGGTCAATGGCATAGAGCAGATCTCCAACAAGACCACAGAAGAAAATTTCCCCAGACTAAGGACAAACACACCCATATAGATACAAGCAGCACAAAGAACAGCAAACAGACAAAACCAGAATAGAAAACTCCAATAGAACATCATATTAAAACACTTAAGTATACATAATAAAGAAAATATTTTGAAAACTGTAAGAGAAAAAGCACAAGTAACATATAAAGGAAACATGAAAATAACAGCTGATTTTGAAATAGAATCTTTGAAAGCCAGAAGATTAATACAGTTCAAGTACTAAAAGTCTATGAAAGCAATATAAAAACACCAAAACGATTGAAGGAGAAAGAAAACTTTTTACATAATCCAACTCAAAACTTTGGAAAAACAAGAACAAGCCAAATCCAAACACAGTCAATAACAAGAAATAACAAAAATCAGAGCTAAAATCAATGAAATAGAAACAAAACAACATAATCAATGAATCTAAGAGCTGTTTCTTTGACCCAACTAACCAAAAGAAAGAAACAACAAATTAACAGTCAAAAATGAACAGGGGGGAAAGAGTATATGGGGAAGAAAAGGAAGAAATGTTGTAATTAAAATAAAATCTCAAAAATAAACAATTAAAAAAAGTTAAAATACATCCTCAAGTAGCTCTACACAGGGAAGTACTATTCAATTAAAATTTGAACCTCAACAGTCTAGAGTTTAGTTTTTTTGGGGGGGAAGGGAGTGATTGGAGTATTTCATTTGTTTTTTGTTTTTCAAGATAGGGTTTCTCTGTGTAACAGTCGTGGCTTGCAGTCCTGGACTCACTTTGTAGACTAGGCTGGCCTTGAACTAACAGAGGTCTGCCTGGCCCTGCCTCCCAAATGCTGGGATTAAAGGTGTATGCCACCACTGCCACACTCTAGAGTTTAGTTTTTGACGTATGTAATTTTTCCATTGAAAAAAAACTCTGTAAGCTGAGTATGGTGACCCACATCTTTAATCCCTGCACCAGCAACCTGGTCTCCATAGTAGGCCAGGTATACACAGTGAACTCCAGGCCAGCCAGAGCTACATGAGATTGTCTCAAAAATAAAAAAATAAAAACAAATAAAATCCAAAATGCACTTGTACCAAAACATGTTAAGAACAGAAGCGAAGACAGGTGGTAGTGGCGCACACCTTTAATTCCAGCACTCTCCGGCAGAGGCAGGCATATCTTTGTGAGTTGGAGGCCAGCCTGGTCTACAGAGTTTGTTCCAGGACAGGTTCCAAACTACACAGAGAAACCTGTCTTGGAGGAAAACAAAACAAAACAAAAACATACAAACAAGCAAACAAACAAAAGAGAATGGAAGTGAAATGATAGGCATAGTGATTTTCAAACAAAAAATACTGAGAATCACATGGGTAAATTTATATAAGCATCAGCCTCGAACAGATCAGTGATTTAACTCACGTGTCTAGGATGTGTGAGGCCCCAAATTCAAATACTACAAAACATAAAGAAAACTAATGAAACACAAAAAGAATAGGAATTAAGTTAAAAGTGAAGGTTTTGAATAAAATGTCTCAGGATCTATAAATAAGAACTACTACTCAACATTACATTCTGTAAGCAGTGCTATACAAACAGCATGTAAATGAATTACCATGTGAAACACTCTTGACTTTT